CACACGCATAGAGCGGGATAATACACACACGCATAGAGCGGGATAATACACACACGCATAGAGCGGGATAATGGATAATACGCAGAGCGTCACACCATGTGAAAGTGAAACCTGAGTGGTGAACTAATTTTCGGCAGCTGAAATTTCGGTGCATCTCTAATTATTGGCGACATCATAAATGGATATGATAAAATCGATGCTTTTTTTGAACATTTTAGCAATTTAAAAATATTACTATTATTACTATATTTTTTTACACGGCACCCCTGCTCTCGACAGATGGCACCCCGGTTGGGAAACACTGTGCTAGTATGCATTCCAAACAGAAGGAAGCCGTTTAGCTCTCCTCTTTGATGTCCTCTAGTGGTGGTTTGTAGTTCAGTCATGTTTCTTGATTCCTTCCAGGTTCCCTTTGCAGTTGGAGAACGGCCAAACTGTAGAACGAACAGTAGCTCAGTATTTCAGAGAGAAGTACAGCCTGCAGCTCAAATACCCCCACCTGCCCTGCCTACAGGTGGGCCAGGAGCAGAAACACACCTACCTGCCCCTGGAGGTCAGTCCTGCCATCCACACATCCTCTCTTGTTGTGACCAGCCTTATTTGAGTGTCTTTGATATACCTTTGTAGTTTTTGTTAATATTTTGAATTATCAAAATGAGAAGTGTTATCTTTGCAACTAGCTGAAATAAAATTAAAAAAAAAGTTTGCTTTATTTTGGTAAATGTTTATTTTATTTCAAGTAATTGTTATTGTTTTTATTAATATTTTGAATTAGATTTTACGTTTTTATTTAAATTTTAGTTAGTGTTTTAGTCTATAATAGATTTATTTATTTTTTTAATTCGCTTTAGTTTATTTACTTTTAGTTCTTTTTAGTATTTAAAGTTATGGTAAATGGAAATAAGGAGTGTTGCCTTGGCAACTAGCTGAATTAAAATGGGGAAAAAAGCTATGGTTATGGTTTAAGTGAACAACTTTTGTAATTTTTTGTTAATGTTTTGAATTAGATTTTATTTTTATATTTACAGTTTTTAATTTGTTTTTACTTAAGGTTTTAGTAATGTTGTTTGTTTTTGTCATTTGTATTTTTTTATTAGTTTGAGTTATTTTAGTACTTTGAGTTTAACTAAATGAAAATGAGAATGTTGCCTTGCAACTAGCTAAAATAAAATAATAAAACAAAATAAAACGTTTATTTAATTTCAAGTAATATTTGTATGGCCTTTTAGTTAATATTAATAGATTTTGTTGAATTAGATTTAGTCTATTTTTATTATTATTTTTAATTAGCTTTAGATTATTTAGTTTTTGTTATTTTATTATAAATTGTTGTTTTATAAATGTTGCCTTGGCACTAGCTGAAATAAAAATTAAAAAATGTAAACCCTAATTTACTTGCTGCTGTTTTTGTAGGTGTGTAATATTGTAGCAGGGCAGCGGTGCATCAAGAAACTGACAGATAATCAAACGTCCACCATGATCAAAGCCACAGCGCGATCAGCACCAGACAGACAGGAGGAGATCAGCAGACTGGTGAGTGGCATTCATAGTCATATACACTTAATTCAGTTGCATAACAATTCATATCCACACCATCTATGTGTTTAATATATATATGAATAAGACAAAAGCACAAACTTACTAAAACGAAAACTGAAAATAAAAATAAATTCCAGCTAAACAAATATTTAAAAAATATTTATTTATTTTAAATATTTGTTCAGCTAGAATTCATTTTTATTTTAGTTAGTTATTTTAGTTCTTCAAATTATAGCATTTGTTCATGTTTTTAATTAGCTTTTGTTTTCATTTTAGTTTTAGTAAGTATGATATATGAATAAGACAAAAGCACAAACTTACTAAAACGAAAACTGAAAATAAAAATAAATTCCAGCTAAACAAATATTTAAAAAATATTTATTTATTTTAAATATTTGTTCAGCTAGAATTCATTTTTATTTTAGTTAGTTATTTTAGTTCTTCAAATTATAGCATTTGTTCATGTTTTTAATTAGCTTTTGTTTTCATTTTAGTTTTAGTAAGTATGTCATTTTGTCAATTTATATTTACAATTTATAGTTTTTATTTCAGTTTTTAGAAAAGTTAGTACTTCAACTTATAGTATTTATTAATATTTTTAATCAGCTTGTGTTTATATTTTCAGTTTTCATTTTTGTTGTAGTGTGCTTTTGTCATTTTTATTGTTTTAATATTTCTTTTTAGCTTTTTATTATAGCTCTTTAGCTATATTGTCAAGCTTTATTTTTATTTCAGTTTTAGTAATTTTAGTACTTATTAACTTAATTTATTTTAGTTAGTTGCCAAGATAACATTTATTTTAAGTTTTTCATCTATTTAGATTTTTTAATTTCAACTTCAATTAAATTAGATTTTTATTAGTTTTAGTTAACTGTTTAGCTAATTATAAACCTATTTATTGTGTTTTACTGTTGTTACTACTTTAGAAATTGGTTTAGGAATTTGAACTATCTGTTAACAGTGAATGATGGATTTCAAAAGAAGTTGCATGCTGTTTTGTTTTATTTAGACACATTAAAAAAAGAATGCACTACGTATTAAAACATAATAATATTTTGAGCAAATTAATTCGTGTTAGCTAAAGAAAACTCATTTTCATTGATTGTCAGCTCTACCGCTGTCTCCTGTTCTTGCAGAATGTGTCAGCAGGTGTTTGTCTGTGTGTTTGCAGGTGCGCAGTGCTAACTATGAAGCAGACCCGTTTGTGCAGGAGTTCCAGTTTAAGGTGCGAGACGAGATGGCCCACGTGACGGGGCGTGTGTTGCCTGCGCCCATGCTGCAGTACGGGGGCAGGGTGAGCACAGAGCACTTTATGGTACCCTTCCTTTCAATCACCCACATCTCTCTGTGTCTGTCTGTCTGAATGAGTGAACGGCTTGTCTGGAGGAACTAACGGCTCCTAACCGCTGTGTGTGTGTGTGTGAGAAATAACTCCCTAAATAAACCAGCTTGCAGTGATTTTTTCTAGTTACTTGTATGCACCATTTAAAAATGAAAGAATGTACAGT